TTACTACTGAGGAAGCAAGATTTTACAGGGACACTTCTATACTTATAGGATAAGATACACCATATATGACTTGTATGTTTGAAAGTGTGTACATCATGTATTAAAGACATCATATAATATTCTAAGTCATTGCTGTTAGGGGCTGGGTCAATTTTCTTGGGGGGGGGGGGTTCATTCAAATTCTGGGGGGTAGTGAAAAAAAGACAGTCTTCTAATTTTAGGTCTCCAGAGGTTGGCATCTCTGAATTATTATCTTAACTTTTTCCTTAAAAGAGAGATTGTTAATATCAAAAAAATCATACATTTGCTTTAAACTTAGCTAATGCAGCTTACTTCCCTTCTAAATACTCTTCTATGAAGGAAAAAACAACTTGATTTGAATTTTGCTATCCCTCCAGTGCATCATGGGTAATTAAACAAATGGCTTTGCATACTGAAAAACAATATTTTTTTGTAAGATTTCAGTTGAAATAACCGTAGTAAGGAAAATTAGGAAGAAAGAAACAATAAAAAGAGCTTTCTAGAATTTTTTTACTTATTGTAATGCAAAATGAAGTTATGACTGTGCTAGTCATTGATTTGTTGTGCATATTATTAGTCTTGCTTGTGTAGGCAGCAAGAGTCATAATCTGGAACAGAGTTTTTGTTGTATTCAGGACTGAAAAGGGGGAGTCATTGTGCAACACATTCCTTACAGAGATTGTGGAATCTGGAACTAAGAATTATTGCCTGATTGAAGTCATACATTTTTACAAAAGCTTTAGAAAGGTGATATTTAGGACTTTCCTGAAAGTTTGGAACAAGTAAAGAATATACTCAGTGGTTCAAAAAAAATACGAATCTTAGTTAGCAAAACTGTGATATAGTTAGGTGTTCTAAATTTTGATTGTATGCAAATGGGTGTGGTGATGGCATGCAGTTGATTTTTGGGGATGATTGAAATGACATGAACAGTAAATCACTTTTTTTATCTGTGGCAATGATGTGATTTCTCTGCAATGCAGGTGCTTGAATTTTTTGGTATTACACACAGATATAACCTGTGATTGCAGACATAATTCTGGTCGTAATTGCTAACACATACTAAATCAATTGAGAAACAAATAAAAAGTATCAGTGTTGATAAAGTAGGAAGTGAAAAACCTTTAACAAGTAAGTGCTGTTTCATGGAGAATTAATGACCTCCTCATTTGTTGATCTAGTCTTGAAGAAACTGATAAGGAATGGTGCTGTAAGAGCATTCGAGTAATTATAATATATAATTAAAAGATGTACTAAATTAATTGACATTGTGTACTAAGTATCGTGTGATAAATATAACTTGATTCTTACCCAGTGGCACTGTAGCTGATTTTCTTTGTACTAAAATGGATTTTAAAAAAATGATGCTTCACTTTTATAAAGAAAAGACTGAAACAAAGAGATTCCTATCTTACTTTACTGTCAGAGATGCAAGCATGAAGATTTTACTGTTTTAAAAATTGTGTTGTTACAAAAAATATCCTAATTCACATACATCTGAACAAGAAGTGAACAAAAATCCTCAAGAGATTGTGGTTACAAGTGACGATGTTTATATAATCCTTTCATAGTTATATTAAAGTTGTTGAAAGCAATACCATAGAATTAAGAGACCTTGTATTGCTTTTATCAGAAATATAAGGATGGAACTCATTTGCAGTATATAACATTTTTTAAAATTCTTTGTGTTATAGGCAACATGAGAAATTTCAATTCTCTTCCTTTAATTTGCTAATTCAATACAAGCAACTGCATTCAGAAAGCAATAATAATATCCTAGTTATTATTATGATCATCAACTGTCTTTCTTCACCCCTGTCTACAAATGCGTATTGTTTAAAAAATGCTGGAGTGTAACCCTGCAATGCACTACCATTCCATCTGCAAGGGAATTCTTAGGTATGCTTCATGCTATTAAAAGTAGTATAAGGTCTGGCCATGTGGGCCTTTTACTTGTCTGCACCGTTACCTAAGTGACTTAAAGGTTGCAAAATAAGTTTACCTTCATTTGTACTGGTTTGTGTTGCACTCTCTAGGGAAAGAAATGTAGTTGTAGAATATTATAGATAGACATTTATCCAGTCAATAGCAGCAGTATCCATCTCTTGAACAACTGGCATGAGTACCTCATTGGCAGTGTAAAACAAGAGAATACCTTAATGAGGATTGCTAGGGTTGAGTGTAAACTTATCATTGTATCTAAAAAGTTTATACCTCTACCGTCCACCATTTGAGCAAAGAATACAATGTTGTTGTCTGAAAAAACAAAATATTAAATTATTATTAAAAATTCAGTTAATGGGACATTGGTGAATGTTTGCACTACTTAAAAAAAAATAAGAAAAATTTGTCTTTGGTTTTGACATTAATTTCCTAGTTGTATAAATTTTGATGCTGATCTAAAAGAATTGTTTCA